TAAAAGCAAAACCAAGACATATCAAAGCTTCTTTGGCCTCCCCAGATACCTCCCTTTTCTGTACATACATGTATACATACCCTATAAGATACATAACGCCAGACATGATGGCATGACTAATGTGAATTATACATAAGTGCTGCTAATGCACAAGAGCATGCAGCTTGATTCGGGGTAACTGGAATGGGGTTGGGACTGGAAATGAGATTGAAATTGGTAGAAGTTTGGGATGCAACATCAGTGGCGGCCGCGGTGGCGGCGGTGGGGCATTGTCGCAATATGACGCATACGCATATATTTTATGGCCAACAAATATGGTAAAAACGGGACGGAACGGGGCAGCATAACTATGACTTCATTATGAGCTCATGCCCGTAAAGTGCAACCGAAAAGGCAAAACGAATACCAGACCCCAGCACCGAGGAGGGGCTCGCCCCGACAACTGCCAGCATAAGCCAAACATTAATAATAAACAACTTACAAGCCATAAACCAATGGGATGCCGACTACCAGCTACCAGTTACCAGTTACCAACCAGCGGCAACGATCCAACGAGCCTCAAATAAATTACACCATGAAAAATAAACACAGTCAACAAAACGGAACTGGAGGCTGCACAAAAAATCAGCCAGAGCAAATGACATTAAAAGAGCAGGAAAGGGGCGCGGAAAACGCATTTCCACTTTGCCCCAGCTCAGCAAAATAAGAAGAAAAAAGAAACCCTAGGAACCCTGGGAAAACCCCGAAAACCAACGCACAGTGAGTGCTAAAATTATGACAACAGGCGGCTGATCCTGCACTGGCTATAGCCCAAAAAAAGCGTAAAAAAAAAAAAAGGGGGGGTAAAAGCGAGGAAAATTCAAATAAGAAATCCGCTCAACTGCCAGCCAAAAGCCAATGGAGATGCGAAAAATTGACACTGGACATGGGGACATCGAAGTGGACATGGACATGGACATGGGACATGGCCTGTGGATGAGCATGAGGCACGAAGATGTGAATGGTCCTGGGATAAGGACATTGGCGACAGTCGACTGAATACCAAAAAAAAAACTAAGAGAAAATCCGGGAAGCACATTTCGGGAAGAATGATGCATGCCACATGCTACGCACTTTGTGCAAGCCCAAAAGTCAGGAGATTTAGTGATTCCAAGAAACAAATTTATGAGAGTTTTCTATAAAAAAAATTGTTGTACAATTTAACAGCTAATAAAATATTTTGAATTTGAATTCCTTTTTAATCTCATTTAAATTTGACAACAAATATTATTTTAAATTTAAATGATAACTATTTACTAGGAATTTTTTAACTGACATTTGGATATATAAACTAAATCTTCTAGACAATTTTACCGAAATTATTTAGATTTAATTTTTCAAATATTAAATATTGTATTTTACACCTTCTCATTTAAGTTACATAAGTACAACAAACAGATTCCCCTTGATAATCAATTAACAAACTCTGGAACACTCTTGAAATAAAATCACCAAAATGTCTACAATAAACCCTAAAACGCAAATGAAATTAAAAAACAAGAAAGAGACAAACCTACATAGTTAGACAAATATAAATGGAAAGAGATAGCAAAAGAGACTAAGAAAGAGATGGCAAATACAGCGATAGCTAAAATGAGACAAAAAATCTTTTTGGCAAAAAGTCTGGCTTAGAGACAAGACACAAAATCAAAAAAAAAAAAAAGGAAAATAAATGGTTAAAAACTGTAAAATTCGAATGTGTAAGTGAAAATTTTGCGAAAAAAAAGCGGCACACAACAAAGGGAAATGGACACCATTGTTTCTGGCCAAAGGAGTGTGTGCAGGCGTGCGAAAGAGCAAGCGATAGCCAGAAAAGAAGAGATATTGTACACTCGAAAAAATCAGAATTTAATTAGGGATGCCATAAACATATATTCTAGTTATTTTAATTTTAATAACTATGGTAATTGAGAATTAGAATTAGAAACAGCAATTTCTGTAGGATTTACTAAACATTAATTAAATTGCAGAGTTTCTAGCTCCTATTAAGTTGGTTTTAAATTTTTTACTAAATCCACTAGAAAACTTTTGGATTAAAAAAAGCTTTATGATCAAAAGCTATTACATAAATCAATATATCTCTTAAAAATCCTAAAAAGCGCCGAAGAATTTAGCTCAAAAATTATTTATTCTTTACAGGGAATGATTTTGTAAATAAATTTGAAAAGCAAATTCATTTTTTCTTCACAAATTCATAGTTTGTAAGTCAGGGTAAATTGTTTAATCAAAAAAATGAATTTACTATTCAGGGTAAATTTAGTACTATACCGAATAGTAAATTTTTTTTTTGATCTAAAACTTTCTTTAGGTTTTTAATACGGTATAAGCTTTTAAAGCACAATCTGATGAACATTTTTGTGTTGACTTTAAATAAAATTGAATAATAAATCGTTGCTCTTCAACTTATTTTCAAATAAGATCTTAGTAATTAGCTCTGTTTTAAGTTTTAAGAAATGGACTTTAACTTTCGACATTTCCAAACTAGATTCATATAAGTGTAAGAGACTTTAACCTCCTTAATTACTGATGCTTATTTTACCACTCTTTATTTCTCTCAGTGTCTCGATAGTAAGGCAACAATGTTGCATTACCCCAAAAACAAAACGAAAAACCAGAGTCCATAAGACCACAGCGTGTGGCGTACCCCTCCCAAAAAAAAGGAAGAAACACAAAATGAGTGGAACTAAGAGAGCAGAGCACTCTCCGGGCAAACTTGGCAGAGGAAAACTCTGAAAACTCTTAAAAAAAATATAGGAAAAAATGAAAAAAAAAGCGCGGACCATCCGGGGAGAAGGCCCATAGGAGACTCTGGTGACACAGTGTCATCTGCATACACACAGCTGGATATGGTCAAGTTGGCGCACAGAAATTGCCTGGGAGTGTCGCCAACTGTGATGACTTCAATATGCACAACACCGTGATCCAAGCGAATCTCCTCCTTCCCGGCCTAAGGGGCGAAAGGAGCAAATGCAAATTGAAACTACATACAGACATACAGCTCCTAAAAATTGCTAAAATGAATCGGATTAGAGGATGCCGGATAAAAGTCAACAAAAGATATCACTGGAAGGCAATTGCCAGGTGTCGAACCCAACGTTTTGCCATTGATAGTCGGCAATAAGAGGACGACAAATCGAGGTTTTCTTTCTGATAAGTGAATGGAAAAACTGTTACAGGGAAAAAGTGTTGCAGCAAAGTTAACTAAGGGTTACAGAGAGAGGAATTTGTTGTCCTGACAGATACATATAAATATGTACAGGAAACTCTTATATTTATTATAAATTTAAGGTTTAAATGAGGCAGAATGTTTCTCTGCAGAGTCTCACTTCCGGTTGTTAAGGTACCTCAACCATTCATTTACACAGATCTATTTATTCAACTCTCCGAAGAGCTCCTTTATTCTAGAATTCATCCCTAGATATGCGGCAAAAACAATTACCTCTCAATTTGCATTCACCTTTTGGCCTCTTTCTGTTTAATCTTCTGTTGTCGAAGGTCCTTCCCCAAACACAGTCCGACCTGCCTATGTCAACTGGAAGATGATGATGATGATGATGATGCTGGCCGGGCCTAGGAACTACTTATTGCATAGCCAAACAAACAGATTATTTGGCAAATAAGCCATACAAACAGTCCAAGTCATGCCCACTCGCTACCTCCGATGGTTCCGAAAGGCAAACAATCCACACACAAAGGTGAAGCGAAGCCCAACGGCTTTGAAATTAATTTTAACCCTGACCAAGGCAACAACATACATACTTTGAGCCAGCCAAGGTGCCTATCCTCGGCTCAGTTGGCTTTGCTTAACTGATTAAATCCCTGGTAGAGGTAACCTTTGGTTGGTTGCTTTAGCTAGTTAGTAGTAGTAGTAGTAAATGGAGGCCAAAATGGAGGCTCTGAACGCATGAAATGCAGAAATAGGAGTCTCTGGCTCCCCTGGGTATCTATGTCTCATACTATACATGCTGCCATCATGAATCAAAGCTAAAAGTAATGTTCAAAGTTCCAGGGGAAGACACTTTGGATCGTACAGGACTCTATATGGTTAGTACACCAAGAGAAACTATATAGGAAAGTTGAAAGGTTTACTCGAGAGATACTACATATTCACTGAAATATGAAAATGAAATAAAATGTGACCTGTTTAGCGATTTTTATTTACTTTTCAACCTCTTTTTCGTTTTTATCTATTTCAAATTTAATTCACTGTTTAATTTCACAAATACATTTTTCATAAGGTCCTTTGAAAATATAAATAAAATGCTTCAAGGATTTGAATATTTAAAGAGCTAATAAAAAATGTGACAGAAATTGTTCTGAATTCATTGCATCTAAGTGTGCATTATTAGTTGATTTTAAATTCAAAACAGTTTCTGTGGCTCTTTTATAAATTTTCTTTGCCATATCTATATTAAAATAATTAGAGTATTTCTAAAATAATTTTATAAGTTCTTATCCTCTTAAATTTTGTTTGAAGATTACCTAAGAAATGTATAGCTTCAAGAGGATTTGACATAAGCTACTTTTCTATTAAAATCCTTAAAGAAATTTTAAAAATAAATTCAAAGGAACTTAAACTTTTATTTTTAAGAGTATTACCTCAGAAATATATATTTTTGGGGAGATGTATTATTTTGAAGCTATTTTAATATAAAAATACTTCAAGAACTTATAGAAAATTAGAATCTTCTCCTTTTAGATTTTGGAGAATAACCTATGAAATAAGTATTTTCGAGAGAATGTATTCCAATTTATTTATTTCAAACACTAGCTAAAAGTTTAACCTGTTTCAAAAACCCTTTCTTTCATGAATATATTACAGAATGCTAATAATATTTGATTACATTCTTTCTTTCAGTGCACTGGTCATCCTTTGGACAAACTATATGGACCCAAATAGCCCCGGGTATCATGGACAGGAATAAAAACTGTACAACAAATGTCATAAAACGGCCACTCACCTCGATAAACTTTGCTGCGCTTGCCAGCGGCTACGATTTGTTGCTGTTGCTGTTGCTGCTGCTGCTGATGTTGCTGCTGATTTGTTGCTGCTGCTGCTGTTGTTGCTGCTGTTGCTGGACAGCAACGGCGTCCAGTTGCAGCAGCAAACGAGGCGCTGATGCTGCTGCGGCTGCCGCTGCTGCTGCGACTGCTGCCTGGGCAATATTTCCATTAACATTTGTCACTTGCTGATGCTGCCCATGCTGCTGATGGTGATGATGAAGCTGCTGCTGCTGCTGCTGTTGCTGCTGCTGCTGTTGCTGGGCATGGGAATGTGTATGCGAATGGGGAAGCGAATGCGTATGGGCATGGGCATGGCCATGGGGTTGCGAATGTGGATGGGAATGGTTATGTGAATGGCCATGGATATGGGGATGGTGGGCAATGGCGCCATTTGGCGGGCCTGTCACTGCCGGCGGTCCATGTGCCGGGCAATAGCTGCGATATTCCCCATTGATGTCAATGTAAATTGGCGCCTCCACAAGTGGCCAGGCGGCGCCAGTTAAGGATGCTGCTGCTGCTACTGTGCCACCCGCTGATGTTGCAGCAGGAGTTGCTGCTCCCGCTGCTGTAGCTGCTCCTGCTGCCCGGCTACAGCAGCAGCTACTGATGGTGGCGTCAAGGTAATCAATTGCACGGGCATTAGCTGGGCGCCATGAATGTGCGGCAAGCCGGAATGTTGAGCACAGTGTTGCTGCTGCTGCTGCTGCTTGGGTGACAACTGTTGCTGCTGTTGCTGCGGCTGTTGTATCTGCTGCTGATAATATACAGTGGTCTGTTCGTAGGCGGCATAGCCCAGAGCATTCGTTGCTGTTGTCGTCACCGATGAAGTCATGTTGCTGGTGCTGCTGGCCACTGTCTGCATGTTGCTGCTGCTGCTGCTGCTGGCCATTGATGACTGTTGCAGTTGCAGTTGCTTGGCCTTCAGGGCGGCCGGCTGAAATGGTGGCGCCAACGGCGTCAAATTCGATTTATAGGCTTTGATCAAAGCACTACTCGTGGATGGTGATGTCGTTGCTGTTCCTGTTACCGTTGCCGTTGCACTTGTGCTGGCTTTTTGATTTTCTTTAACGGTTTTGGTACGACTTTGGCTAGAACCAATTCCCCGGGGCGATATTTCACTGTTTCGATTGTTGTTATTATTGTCCACCACCTGCAATGTGGCTGGGGGATCACGATTGTGACCTGACCTTTCGATTACCTGATAGCTTTCACCGATGAAAGTCACCAAATCATGGCAGGCCTGCTGCAATTCCGCCGATGTGTTTGCCTTGCTCCTTGACCTTTCCTTTTCATTATCATTATCATCGCCATCGCCATCATCATCGTCATCGTCGCTTTCGATAACATGTTCGATTATCCGCAAGTTATCGTAGTCTATAATACGGGCATAGCCCATGCCCAAGGCCAAACCTGTTAGCCTGGCCACTTCATCGATTTCCTGTTCCTCATCAGACTCATTTGGCACCTGTTTTGTAGATTCCTCCAGAATCTCCACATCCTCTTTTGAATCCTCTTCATTTATTGAGGCTTCCTTCAACGGTTGCTCATCACTAGCATCATTATTGTTATCGTTATCATTATCATTCTCGTTATCATTTCGTATACCATTTGTCTCCACTTTCACCGTCACCACTTCCGTTTCCTTGGCCATATCCCCTTCCATTTCCAATTCCTCTTCCACAATTTGACTTAATCTGGGTTTCAGAGGCTTTAACTCCGATTCATCATCATCGTAGCCATCGGTTTGAGTGCTGTTATCGGTAAATATCGTGTCTGTAGAACCATAATAATCACACTCGTCGCACACCAACTCCAATTTTGTTTCGCTCGCCTCCAGGACAGCTGTTGCCATAATGTTTTCAAATATATATTCGCTTATCGAACTTACTTTTATTGTTTTGCATTCAATAAAAATTGGCTTCCATTGAGTTAATCAGTGATTGCAAATTGAGATTCTTTTGTGGCAACAATTGCAAATTGTTGTGGTTGCCGTTGCACTTTGTCGCCAGCAGTCTCATGTTGCTGTTGTGCCGGCGATTTGATCGAATTAAGTCACACAAGTTGGGCTTGGATAAGCACTGAAGTTGAAAGTCATAAGGGCCAAGTTTTTCGCCTCAATTATTTACACCTTTTTCTGGATTGGCAATGCCTGCAACGAAACGGAAAACGGGGAAGAAAATTGTTAAAATGAAGAGTCTTTCACTTTCTATCAACTTTGCCCTCACAAGTTCGAGTCAAAAGTTTGGATTGTGTTGTTTCTTTTTTGTTGTTTTGCTTCTCCTTTCCAGATTGTTTATCGAAAGTCATAAAATATTTATTTTAATTAAAAGCAAATCATAAATGAGTGTAGAAAAAGAGAGCGATGAGTGAAAAATATATTTGCCTGGAGAAATGTGCCCAAACTTTGTAGATGAATTTTGTTTTACTTAGTTTTAGGTCGCAAAAGAGTAAACTTGGAAATAGAACACACGGAAAACTTATAGCCAAATTTAAACAACTTTAAAAATATATTTACTCTAATTAAAATAACACTTCTGCACATTCAACCATAAATTATACTTTTCACTAGCTTAATAAGTGTGAAATTGTAATTTTAATTAGCATTATTTACCGAAATTTCCTGTAATTCATCAATAACAAACTCACAACTGTTCTGAATGACCCAATTATAAACAAATTGTTCGAAATACCTTTTAGCATGTAACTTAAACCAGTTAATAAATATTAAATGTTGCAAAACAAATTTAACTAGAGCTCTGAGCCCTTTATTTAAATTCATTTTATACAATAAATGGATTTTAGCACACCGGGAATCAAATAAAATCAAAATACACCACCAACCGAAAAGGGACAAAAAAAACACAAAATAACATACAAGGGAAAATCAGCTAAATCTGCACAAATGCAAATGAAAATCTATTCAACAACATAAGGGAAAAGCCTCATGCCAACGCGCAAACAGAAAAAGAGATAGAGATAGAGATGGGGAAAGAGATAGCGAGCTTGGTCAATATGCAATATGTATGCGTAAATTGCGTTTTTGGTCAACAATTTCAATATTTTATGCGGCCAACCTGGCGTATGAGCAATGTGTGCAGAAGTAAGAGTCTGGGCCTGGTCAGAAAATGTTGTACAAACTCTTTGTGGCGAGCCAAAATAAATGAATAATGCATACCATATACCGGAAGTTATTTTCTATTCAATTTACACTACTTAAATATGTTGGACGATGCCAAGAGTCCCTGGGATCTAAGCTTCAGACATCAAAAAGGTTCCATGCGCATAATAATAAACATTTTGATTGGATTTCTATGCAAATATTAAGTGCTATCTGGTTTATTTTTGGTCAAATGGTATTATTACTTATTTAACCTAGAGTGTTTTGCCTTGTATTTAAATAATTTTCTCTAATTTTCTATCCCAGCATTAAGTTTAGTCCTGGAAAATACATAAACATTTACAAAAGTCAACATTTTAATGAAACATTTTCACTCTATTCAATTCTAATCAGACCAATTAAATTTCACTCTTCAAACGTTTGCTATTTAATCAACAGTCATTAGAACAAAAATTGTAAATAACTAATATGACTAAACACACACTAATTAGAAATAACCAAAAACAATGTACCACTAATTGGTTAAACAATTTTTATACTGAAAAATATACAAAATATTTATGTGTAAATAAATAAAAGAGTTTCAATTAAATTTAATTGGACAGAACTAAATTTATGCTAGGTCAAAAGTAAACCACAAAACAAATACCAAAAAATAAGTTTACAAAAAAAGAAGGAGAAATAAATATCTAAAAAAAAAGCCTTTTGTTGTGTAAATGATAATATTTTAGTGTATTTAATTTGGATCGGATTGCCGGAAAACAAGGGAAAAACTGTTTACAAAATTGCCGCTAAAATATTTGCAAGCTCATTTCCATTTCCGAACGCGCGATTTTTATAATTGAAATGCAGAAAATATTTCCAAATTGAACAAATATTTGCACAGACCAATAATTACAAAATCAGAGAAAGAGGTAGATAGAAATGGAAACTGGGGGAAAATATTCCGAGAAAAGCCTTATGCGTGACCATAAAAATGTTTGCAGAAATTATTTAATAACCACTTCTCATTGAAAGTCGAAGGCAGTCAGTCGAGGGGGCGTGGCATGGTATGATATAACGCCCCTGTATTATCAATAAACCTGCAAGTCGAAAAAAATTGTGAAAAACTTCTGCGCTTTCCGCAAACTTGGAAAAATGCAATTAAGTTGGCAACGCCAAAGGAATGACGTGCAAAGGGGGACTTCCCCTTCCTTCCTTCCTTCCTTCTGTATCTCTGTGTGGCGCTGTGTCTCTGTGTGTGGTTATATGAGCATGTGTGTGTGCAACAAATTTAATTAGCGCCACAAGACGGTAACAAAGAATAAATAAATAAAAAAAAACAGCATAATAAGTAATGATATCGCGGCGGGTGGAAAAACTGAGAGCCCTTCAAGTCAACAAGTTGGAAAAGCCAAGAGGAAAGGATAACAATTATATTAAATGAAATATTACAAAATAGATAAAAAAAAATATATTTAAAATACTATATTATAAAATTATATTAAAAAGAATATTATATAGTTTAAATATTATGTTATACAACTATATTAAATGCAATATTACGAGAAAGCTAAGAAGATATGTATGTATTTTTATTATTCTATTAAACAAAAAAGAAAACTAACTTCGGGAAGCCTAAGTTTATACATCCTTACAGTTTGCAATTGAATTAAAGTGTATACAAATTGTATTAAGTTAATATTATATAATAGGCAAAAGAATATATATATTAAATATATATAGTATACAATTATATTACAAGAAATTTTATATAAATTTACAGCTAAAAAATGTTTTGGTAAATGTTTTATTTTTAAGGCTTTTAAAAACGTTTTATTTTGCCTTTTAGTTAACCGTTTTATAAAACCTAAGGTTAAGTTAACTTAACATTTATTAATTTTTAAGATAATAATCAATGTAATAGAAATAAAACCTAAAGATAACAAAACCTATACATATATTCATATTTCCATCATCTTAACAATATAATTTCCCCATTGTATTTACCACCAAAGTGAATCCTTTCATAATCTCTAATCCCTTATGCACTTCTTCTCATAAATCTGCAAATTTCAGCCATTCCAGCTAAGAACCTCAAAGTTCTAGATCCTTTTCCGTGAAGTCCTCTTACTTAGTTAATTTACGGATGACTTTGAAATATTCTCCAAAATTCATGGCCCACTTTGAGAATGTTTTCACTCAAAGAATTTCACTCGAAAGAGCTAAATTCTCTGTGTGATAAGAGTTTCTCTCATTTTGCGCTCTTTTGGCCACACAAAACAGTCTCAATTCTCACGACGCATGAGTGAGGGATCCCAAGCAACTCAACTATACAAAAAAAAAACAAAAAACAAAAACGAAACCAATTTCAAGCTTTCAGTATTGCGAACGCAACAAGTTAAACTGAATTTTATGACCACCGGCATAATAACACAGAAACATGTTGGTATGATATACTTTTGCTACAAGAAACGACTTAGATATACCCCAAATATTTAAAAGGTTTGGAGATGAAAAGAAAATATGACTAAAAACATAAATTAAGAGACTTAAACAATTTAAGGATATTTGGAAAATTCTTTAAGACCTTATTTATTAAGTATTATATAATTTTAATTATTAAAATTTAAAGAATTATATATTTAACATATAATAATATTTAATATTTAACATATTATATATTTAACATATTCCTTCCGAGCAGATTTTGTAATATATGTTTTCTATCATTAAATCTTTGTGATCATTAATTATCTTTTTTATTTATAAAAACTCGAATAAAAAACTCGATAAATAATAAAAATAATACCGAAAATCCTTAAATCTTCCTCTGTCCTATAACTAAACAGTCGAAAAATTCATCTACCCTTTCAAAGGGTACAAAAAAACCAACAGCAACCACAATCAGTCGTAACTAGAAAACCATTTACGACTCCAATTTCATAGTTGCATTCCCAACGTTGTGGCATTCTTTTGGAGATATGAATTCGCAATAACTGAGATGCTTTAACTTAGCTGACTTGACCCTCCTTTGATGTCTCTTGATTCCCTTGATCTTTGGCATTTCGGTCCCACGCGTCGTATGATTAATATTTGTATTAATTTGTTTTATTACTCATACGCCGCGTGGGTCTGGGTCTTATCTAAGATGCGGCCAAATGATAAATTCGCTGCACGCTCATCACGCCCCATTCACATGACATGACGTTTGACTAATGATGAACCACCAACCCTACCCTACCCTACCATTTTTTTGTAACTTTAATGGCTTACCTTTAAGCTTAGAGAGAAAAGGGAACAAAATGCAAAGTAAAAGTACAAGAAAAATGAACAAAACTGGAGCAAGAGCAACAGAAGGGAGCTGAAAAGTAGGCAAGACATAATAACATAGATAAAATGTTGACAACTTGCTAACAAATGAAATGCAAACATGTTGCTGCAGCAGGTCCTTGAAGACAACGACTAAGGGATACGGGATAAGGGATAAGGGATGAGGGATGAGGGATGATGATGTTGATGAAGGAGCCGCACAAAAGGGAAATTTATATGTAGGCCCACGTCTAAGCCTCCACGACTGATAACAGGGAATTTTACAAAACCGAAAGTTAAATACCCTCATGGGATCAGGAGAAGCACTCAGATTTTAAAAATAATTATTTTACGGAAAAAAACATTTAAAAATTCAGGAATCTTTTTGTCTTTGGTATGTTCTTTTTGACGAGAATTGCTATAAAATATTTTATAATTAAATAAATAGTAGTTACTAACTCGTTAAGGTACTTAATTATTATATATTCTTTTATTCTATAACCTTAATGATAGAATTCATTTAAAAATATGCTCTTTTCAAGAAAATGGTTATAAAATGAGTGCAAAATTGTTTAACGTTTAAAAATTTAATAATAAAGTGACTTTAAATGTATTAAAAACCTTATAAAATTTATTCTAAGATATAATTTGCCGAATTGATTTATATACAACCCTCAACATTCTGCCCTTTTCAAAATTAATTGAAATTAAATAATTTTAAATGTATTTATAATTAATAG